CCCCCAAGCTGGCCACCCCAGTACGTGGCTGGATCCCGGCCAGGCTCCTGCGTGCTCAGCTCCCGGAGCCGGGCGAGCGCTCATGCCTTCACGTCAGACGCAGCCCTCGCTGGCCTCAGACGTCTCCCCTGCCTCCTCTACCCATTAGGCATCCGCTTGCCCGGTTGGAGGGGGAAGCTTTGACTCCAATTTTCCTGGCTTCCTTGCTAATCCTTGAGAAATGCCGCTAACCCAGATCAGAAGAAGTCGGGGGGTCTGGAAATTTCAAGCTGCTATGAGGCTGTGGGTTTTTTATATATATAATCTATCTTTTTTTTTTTTTTTTTAAAGCCTTTCCCTTCCCTTCTCCGTGCCTTAATATAAACTGCTCACTTCATACGTGCAGCAGTGGTCCACACGCCACCTTCTACCCTGGGGTCAGCCCAGGCTAGCCCTGTTTGAAGTTCCTCAGCACGGATACTGGTGGTGGGGTGAGCTTCCAGAGCAAGGCGGTTTCTCCCCCGAGGTCTAGGGGGGTGCAGGTCCGGGGAGAGGCGCGAGAGGCCGCGCACGGTGCCGGTGCCCGCTGGGGTCACCTCCAGCACCACATCAAAACGAGGAGCCCTGGTGAAGATGATGGGGCTCTGAACCACAGCGTGCACCTGTGCAAACTGCAGCTCCCGCAGCACGTCCTGCCCACGCTCGGCCCCTCTCCCCGGGTCTTCCCAGGCAAAGGGCCTCTGCCGCGATTCGGAGGAGCAACAGGGAGGTGCAGTAGCTGCATCGGTTATACCCCGGTAGGCAGTGAGGGAGTGAGAAGTAGCGTGTGGCTGGGATGCTCCTGGTTTGTAAAGGAGTCTGCTCGGTGCCTGAAGCATCGCTGTTGCAGTGAGGCTTTGCATCACCAGTTTGCTCCTATCGCCGTAATGCCATCAGCTCAACCCCCAGCGATTTACCCCTTGCAAGTCGTACAGCTGGATCACACCCTGCGTGCCAGGCAATTCAAGAAGGGGAAAATGCTGCCTGAAGACCTGGACATCCAACATGGACCAGTACCTCTCGGCATGCGCCTTCGCTCGCCTTTAAAGGTGGGCAAAGCAAAGTGTTCAAACAGACATGGGAGGAGGCAAGGTCTGGTGGGGACATCTTCGAAAGGCAGTGACCGTCATCGCGGTGGAAAGGGTGAGCAACCAAGAAAGTTAAATTAGGGGTGGGCTGAAACCACAGATGCCCACAATGGGATCCAGAGTTGCTCCTTCTCACCGCCCTTCCAAAACAGTACGTAGTTGCAGTTCCCTTCAGTCAATTCAAGACTACTGCTCTCGGGGTGGCTTTTCAGCACCACTTGCTGCTCAGGTGCTCGCACCGCGGCCACCCGCGCTCCCGGCATGGTCTGGTGGGAAGGTGGAAGCCCTCTGCGCGGGGGCCCCTGCCACATCCCATCCCCTCCCCTGCCTTGCCTCCACGTTACCTGCTGGAGCCTTTAGAAAAAACCAGATCCCTGATTTCTGAAGGGAGAAGGGGAATCTCGAAGAGCTGCAAATATTTAAAAAGATGAGAATGTTTCAAAAAGCTCTCAAATTTCCCATCCAGAAGTTCCCAGCAGAAACGTGATGGGGATGCACCAGCTCCCACCCCAGGTCTGGCAGTGGGGTGCAGATGGGGTCCCCTCGCCACTCCGGGCTGCGTGAGCCTGCACCGTGTGTTTGGGGGGCAGCCGGGTGGCCCCACGCCATGTCTGCTGCCGCTCAGAACAAGGGGCGATTTAGTGCCTCTCCCCAGGGGTTTCTCTAACCCAGTTAAACCCCCCTCCGCGTACCTGCGGCGTGCTATAAGCTCCATAACGCGGCGCCTGGAGCCCTGCCTGCTGGCACCGGTGGTGGGATTGGGCAGGGGCAAGCAGCTGGAGCAGTAAAGAAGGACAGGAGGTGGGGGGGAAAGTCTCGTTAAGGACGGAGCAATCAGCACTGGCTCAGGTAAAGCCTATCAGCGCTATCAAAACCCGTGTGTCAAAGTCTGGGGTCACGGTGACGTGTCCTCTTCTGGGAGAGCAGTCCCCAGCCAGCCCGATGCCTCGTGGGGTTTTGATGCCTCTATGTAAAAGACGCGGCGTCTCTATCGCTGCCAAGGAGAGGAGACTGAAAAGCGGGTGGGCTCCGCTCCTGGACTTTTTCTTCCTTTCTTTTTCATTGTTTTTTTGGCAAGTAGTTTGCGCCTGGGCTGTTTTAGTAGAGCAGGATGGTATTGGTCTGCTGCGGTACGACAGCCCCTCGGCGAGAGCGGGATTGACAGATCTGGCTGGAGTACAAAGAGGAGCTTCAGGAGTAGCTGGGCACAAGCCAGCAGGATTTACTGGTGGAGTTTCACTCCACCCAGCAAAGTATGTAGCTACTGGCGGTGGGACAAAGCAGCCCAGGACCCGCAGGGGTTGCGGGGCAGAGAGGAATGGTTTAGGGGCACCGCGAGAGGTGGGGAGCAATGGGGTGGTGAGTGCAAGGAAAAAGCATCCAGTGCTTCTAAATCAGTGTGATTCCCCCAAGCGAGGGGAAGAAAAGGTCCTGGTTGAGCGTGGGCTTGTCCCATCAGGAGGACCTGCCCGTGGTGAGGAGTGGGATGGCATGGGAAAACCCCAAGCGGGGGGCTTGGTTGTGCTCCAGAAGAGATGTCTCTAGGCTGTTCCTACCTCTGTGGGATGCTTGGTACAGCTAAGGTGGGGTTTGTTTGGGGTGCTGCAGCCCAGTCTGGGGTCTGTGTTTCCCCAGGAAGTTCCTGAAGGTCCAGTGCCTGGAGAGCGGGCAGTGGGAAGACGGGCGCTGCGTCCCCGTGGTGTGCGAGCCACCCCCTCCCGTCTTCGAGGGCATGTACAACTGCACCCAGGGCTTCGAGCTGGACAGCCAGTGCGTCCTCAACTGCGAGCCCCAGGGACAACAGGTGAGTGACTTGGGGGGGGAGGCAGAAATTGGCTGTGAAAACTGCAGGGCTCCCCGTGCCCCGCTGTGCAGAGGGGCCCCGTGCCAGCTTGGCCATCCCCAGAGCCAAATGCCCTTGTACCACCGAACTGCAGTTGCCCTGCAAACCTAATGCTTTTCTTGCTGGATACCAGCCGTGGCACAGGATGCACCACTGCCTGGGGAGGCTCTCCTGCTCCCTGGTGACCCTTCCAAAAAAGCAGTGGTCCTAAGCAAGCCTGCTTGTCTTGAGCGAAAAGGGTCGGAAAGCAAAAGTTAGAGGGTTTCCAGCGGGTTTTGGGAGCTGCTGCGAACGCATTTGCCTGGGATGATGGGCAACCTTGCCGTAGCAGGCTTGCTAACCAAAGGGCTTGCCTGCGGATGGATGCTACTGCTTGCCAGGCTCTTCCACCCAGGTTTCACATCCAACCTGCTGGAAGGGTCTTGTCAAAAGAAATGCGGTCGATTCCCTCCGGTGGGATCCAGCAGCAGCCGGAAAACAATTTGCTTTCTGGTCAGTATTGCAAAGCACACGTAGGCTGGACCGGATGGCTGTAACCCAGCTGCCCCGGAGAACTTCCCTCTGGACTTGGCTGGCAGGAGCGGGGGGTCCTTGCGTTTTGCTCCCCTCGGAGCTGGGCAGCGGCCAGGCAGGGTGAGCCCTGCCGCTGCCGTTAGTGATGCTGGTTGTTCTCCCTCTGCTTTGCAGGTTCCCATCGTCTGCACCAAGGAGGGCTTATGGACAGAGGAGTTCAAACTGTGCGAGAGCTTACGGGGCACCTGCCCGCCGCCCCCGGAGCTGAATTTCGTGGAGTACAAGTGCGAGCAGGGGCACGGCATAGGTGAGGGCAGACGAAAGCTAAACAGAAAACCAAATCTTATGTTGCTTCAGCCCTCCCAGAGAGCTGAAGGCCATGACGACGACGACGACTCTTCATGTACCAATCCCCACTAAATCTATGGGAAAAATCCTATTTTCTCTTCCATCCGCGTTCTAAACACAGAGCCAGGGGTGGCTTTGGCCTTGTGCGTGCCCTGGTTGTACTCATGGGCAAGGCCCGAAGTTAAAGCTGGCTCCTGTGTAAGCGTCTCTCTTTTCAGAGGAGCAGGGACTCGTCTCTAGGGCAAACCCAGCCCTTTGCAGTAATTTTCCTAATCTCTAGCGTGCCGTTCCCCCCGAGGTCTCTCCGCTTGTTACTAGTGCTGATATTTGCAGGGTTAATGTGGCAGGCCCTAGATAAAAGCCGCAGTGACAATTGTGTGTAACAGGGCACTTTCACCAGATGAGGGACCACATCATCCGTTTCTTTCTCCGGGACTTGGTCGCTTTGTGCTTTCAGGAGAAGCTGCGATGCTTAGTCACAGTCGTTGCATCTCATCCGGCATCCCGCTGGACAGGACGCTTGAGCAAAGCCCATATCACTCTGAAGCAAACACACCAGTCATCCTGGCCTGATTAAAACAGGCTGAGACGAGTCTAAGGGCAGGGCCTGCTAAGGTTAAGCTTTGGACAAACCTGATGTGAGGGCTGGGATCCACCTGGTTTTCCAAGGTGGTTTTTGCAGCTTTTTTTTCTTCCTGGGTCATAGGAAGGCAGTGGGAATTCAGTGTGGTAGAAAAACTATGAAAGATGCTTCCCAACATGTCAACAAACATCCCATAGCATCCCGGCCAGACTTATTTTCATGCTGGATCCCATGTCCTGCCATCAAGGCTTGAATCTCTCTCTTAGGGCATCTTCAAGTTTCCTCTCATCTGGGAGAAGGGAATTGGCCAAAACTCCTGTAGGCTCTTGCATAATTCAGGATTTGGGGAAGGAATTGTCATCCCAGGTTGGGAGGAAAAGGGTCTCCTCTGTGTCCGCCTCTACCCTCAGTGAAGAGCCTACACATTTGGGTCTGGTGCCCTCCTGGAAAACATCATTGCCTGGTTCCTGATGAAGTCCTGAAGGCTCTCTCTCCTCCCGCAGGTGCTGTGTGCATACCTTCGTGTATCATACCTCCCAGCGACCCCGTCATACTGCCCGAAAACGTAACTGCTGAGACTATGGATCACCGTCTGCAGCCCACCAGAGTCCAGGTAAACGGGGAGGTGGATTCCTCTAGTAGGGAGTTCGCTGGCAGCATAGAGGGAAGCCCCCTTCCTCTATATCTGGTGCTTTTTAACCAAAATTCTCTTTGCCTTGGGCAAAGAAGGGTAAGACTTGGAAAGACAAGCAGCATAACTGAGCTTAGGGCTGGCTGGTCCTCTCCAAGGAGCTGCCCAGGCTGCATGCTCTGGAGGTACCTGCTGCTCCCCATAACCAGGTTCCAGTGCCGAGGTCCTCCTCCCTCCCACCACTTCTTCCTCTGCTTCCCTCCCCTGCAGATGCTACTGCACAGCCTCCTGCTCTCCCATACCAAAGTTCAGCATAAGTTATCGGCTTCCTAAGCCAGTTTTCAAGGACTTGCAGGATACCACAACGAATAAAGTTAAATGCAGGAATCCCGCTGATTTTTCAGGACATGCCGCATGCCTAAACCCGTTAAGCTGCTGTTATTGTCAGCCAGTGTGCTGGGAGAGCAAAAGCTGGCACGGTGTGAGCCCGGGTCCCCGATTACCTGGCAGCAGAGATGCAACCCCGGGCAGGCATCTCCCTGCCAGGGAGGAGGCAGGGCACTGTCAGCTAAAAGGTGTCTCTGGCTGCCAGGACCCGCTGGCCGGCCAGTTGCCTCTGCTGCTGGAACGGGGGAGCCTTTCCCTCCCCACCTCTTACTCATTTTGTAGGCAAAACAGCTCTAATAGCTCAAATAGTTTGGATCCTCACGGCACTACTTTTCCCAAAAAGCAGCTCCGCTGGGGTAATATTTCTTAAAATAAAAACGAGATGCATAAGGAAGGAGGTGGAACAAAGAAAAGCAAACAATTTGCGCTCCCATCCAAATGCTTTCCCCTCCTCCCGGGAACCCGCAGGAGGCCCAGCATCGTGCCTGCGGATACTACTGTACGTCGCCTTGAATCAGACCCACGACGGATTGCTGCCGGGGGGGTGAGGACGCCCGGGGCGTGTGGGATGGTTAAGCACGAGCCTTGGAAGGAGTCCTCGCCTTTGAGGGATCGGATGGCTTGGCCCGTCGAGGCGGTGGCGTTCGGCTTCCCTTTTGCCACTGCTGTGGGCTTTCATGCAAGGGAGGCATTTTGCAGAGAGGAGGAGGGGAGGGAGGCAGCATTATTTTAAGAAGCGGTGCTCCCCCTTGCCAGGAGCTTTCTGCCCTGGCTCCTGCCTCTGCTCCCCTCTTTGCTGCTCCAAGCCTCCAAGAGCTTGCCCTTCCCGGGAGCTGCCGTGCTCCCGGGGTGATGGAGAGGATGGGGTGAACCACGCAGGGAGCTGCAGAGGCCACTCGGGGAGGGGCACGGTCCTGTTTTGCTTTCAGCTCTGATTCATTGCATCCCGCAGCCCAGCAGGTTTTTTTTTCCTCTGCCCTTCTTTCCCATCCTGGAATATGAGTATACTAATACGAGTAGGCTAAAACGCTATTCAAGTTGCACAACAACCACATATGAAACACCCCAGTAGGGTTAGGATGCAAATATCCTCCGGGCTGAGCAGGAATCGGCTAACTCAGCTTTTTTCCCCAGCCTCTGCCCCGTCTGACAGCGGTTCGCTCCAGGTCTGCCTTCCCTGCCCTGGCTGAGGACGGCCAGGGCATCACCCTGCCCCAGCCCCATCGCGGTCTCGGCTGAACATGCGATAGAAGGACCTGCAGCGGGTCTGCGTGAGCAGAGCTGCCCCATCCCCTGCTCCTGGGACTGCTGGAGCTGCTGCACGCTTCAAATGGGAGGCTAGGAGAAAACACGCGTGCCCCTCTGTGCGACTCCCACGCTGTGAAGGGCATCCTAGGACACTTCCACAGGCCAGCCGTCGTTTTATGGGGCCTCGGATTTCAAAGTCTGCCTGAGCTTTACAAGGAGGAAATTGCCTGTGCGGTGGGGCTTTTCTTCCCCCTGTATAATCATGAGTGCTCCCCACAAACCCCCGCCGAATGAGTGGGACAATGTGTTCCAGCGCAATGAAACCCAGCCCTTCACATCTCGCTCTTGTGTCCAGTTGGCTGCAACAGCTGCCTCGTGCCTCGTAAATACCAGCGATAACCTCAGCCCCGCGAGTGAAAGCGAGTCTGGTTTATCTGCTCCAGGCCGGGTCTGGGGAGGTGAGTCCTCCTGGGACCCGGTTCTTGGAGCCTGAGCAGGGGTCAATGAGCAAGTTGATGCGGGCACCGAGTGATGACGGCTGAGCCCCCCATCCCGTACGAGTGAGAAGCTGGTGAACCCAGCATCGTGCAGAGAGGTGATGGCAGACTCAGCCTATCGTGGCCCCAGGTGGCTTCCTCCCAGCCGCAGCTTGTGGCCGAGTCAGCCACCATGAGGTGGCCCTGCCAGCCAAACCCACTTCTCTGGTGGTCCCTTTGTCCTCTCTGTTGCGTATCTATATACATAGACTACACAGACGTGTGCGTGTGTCTGTCTGTCCTCTGCCCTGAACGATGTACCTTGGTTTGTGGGTGAACTGGGTGCAGCTGCCTTAGGTTTGATGGGCTTCAAAGGGTTTCCCACTGGGCAGAGGTGCAGGGAAGGTCCTGAGGGTCCCACTGCTGTTCCGCACCGCGATGAGCGATGCAGCGTTGTGGGAGACCCTCTACCTCTAGAGAGCATCGGTGGCTGTCGCCCTCCTTCTGCCGCCTTGCCTAACAGCTCTTTTCTCCTTCCCTCCTCAGCACATTGTGTGCACGGGCAGGCTGCGGTGGTATCCAGACCCCTCCGTCATTCACTGCATCCAGTCGTGCGAGGTAAGCCCCCCTTGCCCCCAGCACGAGCCACCTGCTCCTTGCAGGAGAGCTCCTGGCAATGAAGACTGCCTCCAGCGCAAAGCCGGATGGCTTTGACTTCATGTTTGCTCCAAACTGGACCAGGGCTTGCTGGCTGAGCAGAGAAACCAGAGCGAGCATCCTCGGGTATGGTCCCCCGCAGCCAGGGCGATGCTGGGGAACGAGCGTTGCAGAATAACCCATTTCCTTCCTTGCCTGCTTCTTCTTGGCCAGCCGGGGAAGAATGTTCTAGCAAAAGGATTTCACTGGCAAGGGGTATCCCCAAAAAGCCTGTGCTGACTCCAAGCCTTGAATATTTCCTTAACCAGAACCGCAGTTCTAGAGTAACGCGGATCCAGAAAAGCCCTGTGTGATTCGCACGTCCAACCAAAACAACTAGGATTTCCAGCCTCGTACATGCAAAACAAACCGCTCCTGAAGAATCTGCAGACAAAGAATTCCTTGCAGAAATTGGTTAGCTGCTCATTTTGCTTTGAATAATGACCAGGCAGGAGAAAATCATAGGCAGCCCGGAGTCAGTTCGTAAAGGAAATTAAAAATAGGCAGCCTTTGTCAAGCAGTAGTTATTAAGATTAAGGATAAAAGGAAAAAGGGGGGATGTTTTGGAATGTTGTATGCTGAAAACTTAGGATTTTTACCAAAAAGGAAAATGTAAATGAAGTTTGCACACCAAAAATAGCTTTGGGTTTTGCTGATTATTTTTTTTTTTGTGCTCGTTCCAATGCAAATGATCGCTCTTGCTCACCAATTCTGCCTAGCTCAGCTCTTTGTCAACTGAAGCGTAGGAGAAAGGGCGATGTTGCAGGGGGCACGTCCCCAGGAAGGAAATGTTACGGTCAACAGAAGGTGCAGCAGTTATTTCCCAAACTCGATGGCTGTGTTGTGAGTCTCTACTGCAAAGCATGGGCTGCAAGCGTAGGGGAATGAGGTGCTGTGTGCTAGAGAAGTGTTTGATGGTTGAGTACCAGACCTTAGCGATGGATCCTCTGGCATTTTGGGCGCTCCAGGTCTTTCTAAAGGCCATATATTTTAGCTTAGCTCAGCTCTGGGGCAATGTATGTGAAGTAGGATGGGCTTATGTGGAAGAGCAGTCCAAATGGTTGCGGTGATGCTATCTGTGGTTCTCCTGCTAGCAAGGGAGAACCGCTCCTTGTTCTCTCTGGGAGTCGGTCCTTCCAAAAAAGAAATGGATGGGGCGTGAGGTGCTCCTTCTTCCCTTTCTGTGCAGCTCAGGTGAGAGAAAGCTGACACAGGCATGAGGATGCTCCCTTAGGCTTGGGTACAAAAGACCAACCCCAGCCTTTCCTTCTCTATGGTTCCTGCACCTCCCCTTGGGTCTGGGTCTTCAGCAAGAGGTCCTGTAGGGCATTATGAAAAATACCAGCTTATTTGTATGTGTGTGTGAGAGAAGGAGAGATAGTGACCAACTACCTGAAGTCTCAGCACCTCACAGTAAGTTACTGTCTTCTCATTGGCCACCCAGACATGTTGCTCATGACCAACATGACCTCCTTCTGTTCCTGGATGCTTGTCATCCCCTTTTACGCATAGAAAGCAATCCTAGACAGCAGTCCTAGAATACAGGAGGTTAAGCAAGCCAAAATCTTGCAGTGCCCTACCAAAAGATGGAGGGTCTATGCTCTTCATCACCCTTGTAGAGTTTTTAATGCCTTTTCTGTTTTCAATTAATCTTTCATCAGGAATGACCAAGCAGTACATACTCTTCCAGCTGAGGTCTCACCAAAGCCCTGCACAAGGCTTCCTTGTGCTGGAAATGTCTCTTTTAATAGGACCCAGGACTATATCTGTTATTTCTGCAATTGCATCTGTCTGGCAGCTCAGAGACATCCTGGGTCAGCAAGTACACCCAGATCTTTCTCTACCTCCTTTGTTTCCAACTGATGAGCTCCAAGCTAACAGCAGATGTTTTACCATCAGTACAAGAGCTTGCCCTTCAATTTTATACAAGTGAATGTCATCCTGTTTCTCTTTCTAGTCTTTCGGGTCATCTAACTATTTGTCAGATATCCTGATCCTCCTCTGTGGAACAATGCCTTCTTCCTCGTTAGAAATTTCGTCAGTGCAGGCCTATTTTTAAGGTCACAGTCACTCACTGTAATACTAATGAAGATTCATCCTCAGATAGTCTCTTTCACCCTGAAGCTTTCCTTTTTGATACAGCTCACAGCCACCTCCTCCCTGTTCTCCTCCTCCTCACTTCTCACGTACATGTCTTTGATTATTCTTTTCATTGGGTTTTCTTCTACGATGCTGCAGGTTGTTAAGGTTGGACTGATAAGCCAAGTCTGCCTAGATAACATTTTTTCACATGTGTTTTACAGTAGTCATTGTCTCGCCATAAAGAATAACGTTCAAAGTATTGCTCTGGGAGCTGCTGCTCGGCACTGGGAAGAAGGGAGGTGCTACCAGTCCTCTCCTTTGACCACAGAAAATGCCCTGAATGTTGTTTCCACCTCATCTGAGCTGGCTTCCACCCTCATTCCTATTCTTCTCCTGCCTCCATCCTTGTGACTAGAAGCACTGCAGTTCTTGGAGACCCAATCTCTCGCGGGATGTGGAGACATCAGACAGTGAGATTTGGATAGAGATGGAATATAACCTGTAATCTGTCCTTGCTGCGTGGTGCCCCACCACCACATCTCCTTTTCTTGTTCTTCCCTTCATTTACCTGCACGAGAAATGTTCTGCCCCTGCAGAACATAGTCCCTGCTGGGTCTGACGTGGTTCAGCTTGACTTGCCATGCCCATGGGACATCTTAGTCCCAGGTTCCTCCCCATTTCACAGTAATTCCTCACTGGAGGCACCTCCTTTAGGAGCCCAGCCTCTGCTCTCCACTGGGCAGTGAAGTGCTGTTCCAGTGGACTGAGTCATCCCTTGGAGATGCCGTTGTCTCTCCATTGACTGCTGAGCGCATGTTGAATGACGAAGCTTTCCTCATCTGGATACCTCAGTGAGGGGAACGACCCTACGTAAGAGAAATCCAGGCTACCTGGCTGCTCGTACCGTCTCTCCCTGGTGGAGTCACTTCGGGCTGGGGCATGGCAGCAGTAGCCAAGCCTCAACCTCCCCCGCCTCAGCTGGAGCCCTGCCTCACCTTTGAAAGTTCACGTCACCACGCAGGGGTGTTAGAGGGATTCTCGCTTATCTTTATTGTACGCTGGCGGCGGATCAGCCTGCCTGCTCATCCCTCTCATTCCTCTCCCCACCTCCCTTCTCTTCCCATTAATCTGGTCGTCCATCTGCCTCCCGGTCTCTCGCTGCGCCTTGCCAAGTTCCCCATCCCCGGAGCGCGGAGGCACGTAGTTCAGCGGGCGAGGGAGGGAGGGAGGGATGCAAACCCTTCCAGGAGCCCGTCAGGAATAAGAGTTAGCGCCGAGAGTGCTTCGCCTCTCGAGGGCCAGAGGAACATCTAATCCCCTGCCATCAGTAGAAAAACAGATGGCAGCACCGGCGGGGAGAGGAGGGGGCTTGGGGCTGGGTGGAGAGGGGAATGCAGGAGGAGAGAGACCCCTCCTCCCCGCTGTGGGCTGGGAGGAGGCGGTCGTGGTCCTGGTGGTGTGCTCGGCTGCTGCGAGGGAGGTGTTTGCCGCATCTGGGGCAGGTTCTCCCCAGCCATCCCGAGGTGACCAGCTCTCAGCTACCCTCCTCCTGTGCCCAAGAGCAAGTGAGGCTGTTGACTTCAGAGGAGGAGACGGCACGTACAGTGGTCTAGGCTGCTCCCTTGGACTATTCCTGCCATAGTCCAAAATAGTCCATGCATGAGCGTGGCCAACATTGGCTGCTATAGGCCATCTCCTAGTCCATGCAACTCACCAGCTCTGCATCTCTCTATCTCCCAACATTGTGCAACATGCTGACCTTGTCCCCACCTCCAGCTCTGCTTCATCATTGCGTGCAGGTAGCAAAGGGTTAATTGCAGGGGATTTAAGGCAGCATGCTTTGGACAGACCACCAGTAGGCAGAGCTTCATACTGGTACGGTAGGAGTTGGACAAGAGCAACTACAGCTGTGGTCTGCCTTGTAGGGTGGCAATTCGTTCCTGATGTGACTTGGTGCCTTCTCTGGTTGAGGCTGGCTTTGCCGTGCTTTGCTCTGAGCAGCCCTGCCTGCATGTTGTGGGAACATGCAGAGACTTTGGCTTGAGGTCTCTGTTTCATGCCCTGGGTGAAGATGGGCCATACCAGAAAGCTGTCGTGAGCATGAGCTGCTGGGAATTTCACGGGTCTTCCCCGCATAAGGACAAGGTCTCGCTGCCCTTGCGCGTGCTGCTGGGCATGTTATCACGATCGTAAAACACTAATCCGTTTTCTGTTTTATGGTTTTCCTGAGGTATTACAATGGAAATGATGAGATAGAGATTGAAGTGTGTTTGCGGTTGCAAACTGTTCTCCAGACTCTCGATCCAACAGGTAGTCAAGGACCCCGATGGATCCTTGGCTCTTCCTACCAGCATGCACAAAACCCTCGCTCGGCACGTCTGTGGCTTGTGTCCAGCATTTGTCAGCCAGAATTAACCCCTTTGGAGGCGTATGCAATAGGGACGGTGGGAAGTCTCATCTAAAATCAGGGTCCTACTGTGACAGGGTGCCACTCGTTCCCTGGGCAAAGCGCTGCAGCTGGGGTCCAGCTGCAGGCAGCTGCCTCTCCTCCTCACCATCGATGGGGCTGGGGCCCCTTGATTGTGCCTCCTCCCAGACCCGGGAGCTCTGATTTTGTACCATGGCAAAGCTCAGCACGGGAAACCAGGCAGAAACATGATGCTGGTGGGATTCTCTGCTCCGGGAAAGAGATCTTCTTCTGCTCTCCTGGGGCTTAAGGCAATGAGGACTACAGGCACTCCAGCTTCTCCAAGGAGACTGTCTAGAGCAACTAGGTATCTCAGCATGGCCAGAATTTAACGTCACCCTCTTGTGATGCTCACATCATCATTACCTCATCT